AAAGTGATCAAGATACTTTTAATGCTTTAATAGATCCACATTGACTCATTGAAATGTTTTTTTAAATATCCTTTTCTATCCACAATCCTTCAATGATGACAATTTGCTCCGAAGTCAATGTCCATAGACCCCATGTTAAAATGCCAAACTTTGAAGCAGAAATATACATGTTTACTGACTGTTACAAATACCGTTTTGGTGGCGTAGCTAATTTTAACAACAAAACAGAGAGTGATGACTTACCTATTAAGGCTTAAAGAGATGCATAAGTTATGGTGTGGCCACCTACAGTAAGTAACAGGTGTGTTCAGTCAGAGCCTTCCACATGGCGTGACAGAGACCATGTCAATATTTCATGCATTCTATGGTCAATTCTGAATGATGTGAACATCACAAACTCGCCTCCATTGTTGTGGAGTAAATGCATACATATCATATTTCAACAAGAGTAAAAATACAACACAAAGTCATCCGCATGACTTAAAAAGCATAGGGAGCGATTTAGTGGGCAAATATGTTCCTTAAAATGTCCTAAAAAAACAAGACTTAAGTCTATAGATTGGTCCAGAAATGAGTCTTGAAACCCAGAAATTAGTTAGTATTTCAGAACTTCTGGTTTCCTTGTCTGAAAGTCAATGTTTGGCTAAATGAGACTACTAAACATCATCACAACAAACATTAGCCACCTTTAGCTTAGCCTAGCCGCGACGCCCAGCTATGCGACTTGATGTACTTCATTTAAAGTTTTTCACTCAGGTTCGGGTGTGGTCAGAGGACAGCACAGCTGCACTCAGAGACTGCTTTGACACTACAGACTGGGACATGTTCAAGCAGGCAGCCACATACAACCATCACACCAACATACAAGAATACACAGAGACAGTCACGGGCTACATCACCAAATGCATTGACGATGTGACACAAAACAGAGCCATCCCCATCCGGGCTAACCAGAAGCCATGGCTGACAGGGGAGGTCCACACGCTGCTGAAGGCCCGCAACATCGCCTTCAGAGCTGGAGATCCAGCTGGGCTGAAAGCAGCCAGGGCTGACCTGTCCCGTGGCATCAGGAAAGCAAAACAAGAATACACCCGAGAAATTACAGGACATTTCAAGGATAGCGGGGACTCACGGAGCCTGTGGCAGGGCATAAGGACCCTAACGGACTACAAACTACCGCCACAGACCTGTGACAGTAATACCTCCCTGCTGAACAACCTCAACGGCTTCTTTGCACGCTTTGAAGCACAGAACAACACACCTGCGCAGAAAACCACCCCCCCCCCCCACAGACGATCAGGCTTTGCGTCTTTCACCAGCCAGTGTGAGGAGCACACTGCTGAGGATTACCCCCCGCAAGGCTGCAGGACCTGACAACATTCCTGGTCGTGTGCTGAAGGACTGCGCGGAAGAGCTCACAGATGTCCTCACAGACATTTTTAACATCTCCCTGAGCCAGGCTGTTGTTCCCTCGTGCTTCAAGGAAACCACCATCATTCCAGTGCCAAAGAAGTCATCTCCATCCGGCTTCAACGACTACCACCCCGTCACACTAACTTCCACCATCATGAAGTGCTTCGAAAGGCTGGTCATGAAGCAGATCAAATCCACCCTCCCCCCATCACTGCACCCGTTTCAGTTTGCCTACCGAGCTAAACGGTCCACAGAGGATGCAATCTCCTCCGCTCTCCACCCAGCCCTCACACACCTGGACACTAAGACTAAGGACCCATATGTCAGAATGCTATTCATATACTTCAGCTCAGCATTCAACACCATCATCCCCCAGCAGCTTGTACAAAAACGTACAGACCTGGGCCTCAGCCCCTCTCTCTGCAACTGGTTGCTGGACTTCCTCACAGAGAGACCACAAGCTGTACGGGTCAACAATAACACCTCAGACACCCTCATACTGAGCACGGGGGCCCCCAAGGATGTGTGCTCAGCCCCCTTCTCTTCACTCTGCTGACCCACGACTGCAAACCCATCTTCAGCACCAACCACATCGTGAAGTTTGCAGACGACACTACTGTGGTGGGTCAGCAACAACGATGAGACTAACTACAGGAAGGAAGTGAACCAGCTGGCCCTGTGGTGCCAAAACAACAAGCTTTTCCTCAACCTGGAGAAAACAAAGGAGAGAGTTGTTGACTTCAGGAGAACCCACCGTCGACCCCCTCTCCCCCTGACCATCAACGGCGCTGCTGTGACGCAGGTGACCAGCACCAAATTCCTTGGGGTGACCATCACTGATCAGGGATGCAAACTTGTCACCTTTTGGCAAAATTTGCCGTTTTGAATCCAAAATAGGTCGTTTGTGTGATTCATGTAGATCTGCAATAAAAATATTTTTGGGGTATGGGGGGGGTCTGGGACCCAGAGTAATCTGCGGCCGCGAGCTGTTATGTGCCATCATGACACACATGGTGTTCTTTTTTTATATATTATAATGAAGCGCGAGCTGTGTGCTCGAGTCTTCCTGCCTGTCGGCTCTGCTCATGGATGTATAATAAGGCTCTGCTGCTCCGGGATGAGGGTCTAGCTTCAGCAGCTACATTACCTACGGGTGCGTTCGTTAATATTAACTGTGTGGTCCGGAGTCACTGTGGCACAGACTGGACCGCTGGTGAACAGCTGTTAGAACGGGCCGTTCAGGTGTTCAGAGCAGAGCTCCCTGTCGGAGCGGCAGAGCGTGATGTGCACTGAAACGTTTTTCTGTCGCAGTATTATTTAAGGAATCGTTGAGCTAGCTAACTAGCATACATTGTCACTATCTGCTAACGTTAGCTTTAGCCTTCGTTTTCAAATAGTTTTTTTCATAGGCTATAAACGGAGGTGGTATAAGTATAGATCTTGTACTTGAGTAAAAGTAGAAGCACTCAGATCTTGTACTAGAGTAAAAGTAGAAGTACTCAGATCTTGTACTAGAGTAAAAGTAGAAGTAGGCCTACTCAGATCTTGTACTTGAGTAAAAGTAGAAGTACTCAGGTCTTGTACTTGAGTAAAAGTAGAAGTACCAGAGTGTAGGGATACTCTGTTACAGTAAAAGTCCTGCATTCAAAATGTTCCTCAAGTAAAAGTAGAAAAGTATTCTCATCAAAATGTACTTAAAGTAGCGACAGTAAAAGTAGTCATTGTGCAGATTGGTCCATTTCAGAATAATATATATGATATGTTTTATAATGACTGATCATTAAAGTGTTCTCAAAGCTGGTAAAGGTGCAGCTAGTTTGAATGACTTTGTATACTGCAGGGTAGCTTGTGAATTTACTCCAGGTGGAACTAAAGTCTGATTTAACACTTGATTATATTTCACATCATTCATCCAGATCTGTAAAGTAACTAAAGGTATTCAATAAAGGTAGTGGAGTAAAAGTACACCATTTACCTCTGAACTGTAGAGGAGAAGAAGAACAAAGTAGCAAAATATTGAAATACTTAAATAAAGTACAAGTATCTCAAAATTGTACCCAAGTATAGTACTTGTTGAGTTTATGAACTTAGTTACTTTACACCACTGGCTATAAAGATAGAAAGAGTAAGCCTTGCACAGAGGCATGAAAATACATTTTCACAATGCTCAACAGTGCTGCCAAAATTATAAACTGACTGCTACACAATTCAAATAAATGCTTTTATACATTTCTATTAGATGTGACTCTTTGGCGTTTCTGTTATTATTAACTGCTTTAGTTGTTCTGACTGCTAAAATCCTGTTATTCCTCATTTTAAAGCCGATATTCTGTGGGGTCGGGGGCTCGGATCCTTGTCACCTTTTTCATACCTGATGAGTTTGCATCCCTGACTGATGACCTCACCTGGAAAAACAACACCACCGCACTAGCGAGGAAAGCCCAGCAGCGCCTGTACTTCATCCGGAAGCTCAAGCGAGCCGGAGCATCACCCCCCCATCATGCTGTCCTTCTACCGAGGCGCCACCGAGAGCATCCTCAGCAGCTGTATCATGCTGTGGTTCGGAAGCTGCACCGCCGCCGACCGCAAGAGCCTGCAGCGGATAGTGAACTCTGCCCAGAGGATCATCGGTGCCTCACTCCCCTCACTACAGGACATATACAACACCCGCCTCACCCGCAAAGCACTCAGCATTGTGGGTGACTCCACCCACCCCTCCAACAGCCTCTTCAGCCTCCTGCCTTCAGGAAGAAGGTTCCTCAGCCTCAGCTCGCGCACCTCCAGGCTGGGCAACAGCTTCCTCCACCAGCCGGTCAGGATGCTGAACTCTCTCCCCTCCCTCCCCCTTTCTCTGACATCTCTCCCCTGAACTCTCCACCCTGCCTCCGACCTTTCTCCCCTGCCCCAAATGGTCCTGGACTCTAACCCAACCCCCCCCCCCCACACACACACACACACACACACACGCACACGCACATGCACACACACACACACACACACACACACACACACACACACACACACACACACACGCACACACACACACACACACACACACACACACCCAACTTCCCTCTTCCAGCACCAGTCACTTTTCTGCCCATCTCCGCTGCTACTGCACTGAAACTGTACTTTGAACACTTAAATATATTATTAACATTTTAAACTGTATACCCCGGTTATCTAGGCCCTTTGTTTTGTTTAATGTATACCATGTTTATCTAGGCCCTTTTTGTTTTTTGTTTGATGTATATATGTCACACTGTAGGACTGCGGGAAACGATATTTCGAGATTTCTGGATGAACAACATGTAGAATTCTTGACAATAAAGCTGACTTTGACTTTGCCTTTGACTCATTACAGATAACTCCATAGTAACATACAGGAATGCAGACCAATACTAGTGACCAGTTGCACCTCTGAGTTTTGGTTAGTATTGGTTCCAGTGCCAGAGTCATGGCGCTACACCTGTGGCCCAGTGGCATCTCTTGCTAACTGCTTGAAGCTAACCAAACAGGACATCATTGATGAGCTACAGCTGTGCTGCCTCATCTCACCCTGCTCTGTCTCTCTTTCTCTCCCTCAGGAGTACACCATTGATGTTTTCTTCCGCCAGAGTTGGAAGGATGAGCGATTAAAGTTCCACGGACCGATGAACATTCTGCCTCTAAACAACCTGATGGCCAGTAAGATCTGGACGCCTGACACGTTCTTCCACAACGGCAAGAAATCTGTCGCCCACAACATGACCATGCCCAACAAGCTGCTGAGGATCATGGAGGACGGAACCTTGCTCTACACTATGAGGTAGGCGGCTCTAACAATCCAGTGATAATATAGTAATGGCTAAATAGAACACAAAGATTAAGTCGTTCAACATCCGATAACGCAATCCAGACAAGCAAAGATACATTTTCTATGGGTATAAGCATTTGTTTGCTGCCTGAATCTGCTTTATGGTTTTCACTTTCTTTGCTTCATTTGTTCTGTTTTTAATTCAGCAGGTGAACCTATATGTTCATAAAATAGTGTGTGAGCTTAACTGTGTGTGTTAAACTAAAACAGCATTTCCTGTCAGCTCAGATTTTATTATTATTTTATTATTTATTTATTTTTAATTGATTTAGTATCTGCTCATGTGTTTCATTTCACAGCATTTGACATTAAGGTAACCCAAAAGTAACAAAAACATATTTTTACAGGTAACTATTAATTATAATGGAAAAAAATGTAAACTAACCCTCTCAGTTAATGTGAACTATGAAAAACATAAATCATGAACAGTGTTGGACCAATGTATGTTTTCTTTCCTGATGAAACATTTTATATTAAGTCATTAAATGTCCTCCTAGTAATAGACCCAATTTCATGGCAATCGATCCAATAGCTGTAGTGATTTGTTTGTCTTCCAGTGACCGACATCGCCATAGATAAAGTGACTCTATGGATAGCAGTAGCAGTTGGTTTTAGCAATATACACATGCGGACACTTTGTTCTGTGCCTTATAAACCAGAGTGCATCATCTACACTCTATTTAATAAATCACAACTATGATATAGCTAATAAAACTGTTGAGATACTATTATTCTACTCTGGATTTTAGATTACATTTGACTCCCTGATGGGACTTTATGGTCATAGTGTTCAGGCCACAGCAACAACACAATAACTCATACTTACAGTTGACAAAAAGGATTGGGTAATAAAGGGGACTTCAAAACAAAGCAGAGGTGTCTTTACCAGCACCTTCAAATAGAATACAAAACAAAATCCATAGTGCGCAGCAAGCTTGCTACCTCACATTTTATGGGAAGAATTTGTCAAGACCTCTGAGCTGTATCTTTTGACACCCTATACTTTTGTTAGGAAGAGAATCAAGTGTTGTAGGGAAGACATCGTCTCTTTATGCCTCTGTGCAGCAATAAACCAAGCAGATCAAAACTGTTATTTCTGTATCCATATTTGTGTGTTTAGGTTAACGGTTCAAGCTGAGTGCCCCATGCACCTTGAGGACTTCCCAATGGACTCCCACTCCTGTCCTCTGAAGTTTGGCAGCTGTAAGTGTGTGCACATCATCCACACTGTGCATCCTTAACCTTTGCATCATTTAAAAGGAGCAGTATGCAGGGTATGGCCAGATATTGTTCATAATACATCCACAGTCTATGCAGTTTTGGATGTTTATTGCAGATGCCCAGAATCCACACCATCTCCTTATCCTCATTGCAACAAAAAACATGTCCCCAATCGAGAGGCAGTGGTAACTCATTCACACTGTGTTCAAACATCAAGATTTGACACCAAGAAGCATAACGCTTCATTTACTGCCTTTGTCTTTATAGCAGTAATGATTACATTTTCTACGCTACAATACAGTGGAAATCCAAGCATTTCAATGTTTGCTTCAAAATCATAAGCGTCCCAAAGCCATTCTAGAAATCTACAATAAACATCACATTTTTAATATCACACTTTGGTTTAAACCAGGGGTGTCAAACTCAAGGCCCGGGGGCCAAATCCAGCCCGTGACTTCATTTTATGTGGCCCCACAAGAGCTTGCAAAGAATATAATATGTTTATTATACGGTTACATGCCGCTTTACAGAAGCACGTTGCCCATAAACTACATGTCCCATAATGCATCTCAAATTTGACTTTTGTTTCTCAGAATTTGACTTTTTTTTATAGTCTTATATATAAAACTGTCCCTTGAGTGCAACCATGATGCTAATGTGGCCCGAGATAAAATTGAGTTTGACACCCCTGGTTTAAAATGAGCTGATCAGATTTTGGCCACTTTATGATGTCATAACGGTTTTTTGGCTTGTGTTCAATGTCTCCTTGCTCTGTGCATTAGATGCCTACACTAAGACAGAGGTGACTTACATCTGGACTCATAATGCCACCCACTCAGTGGACGTGGCGGCTGAAAGATCCAGACTCAACCAGTACGACTTGGTGGGCCAGACGGCGGGCAATCAGACCATTAAATCCAGCACTGGTGAGCAGCATGCACTAACTTCAGTCCGACAAACAGAAGTACCATACCAGTGCCTGGACACATTACAAGGTCTGCCCAAATATCTAATTTGCCGATATCCATGTGGTCGTCTAAGTGGCTGCTTCAGACTGTACATGCATACCTTCGGCGGCGATATCACATTTCCCAACACCTATAGACAGTCTAATGCGGACCCAATACTCTGCTGTCTACTTCTTTGGCTGCTTTTGAATATAATTGTACTTTATTGTTAAAAATGTTTCCGAAATTGTGATTAATAAAATACATCTTATTTTATCTTAAATTAAATTAATCCACCTCACATTGCCAAACACGCTATAGTGTACTAGTGACTGTTGACAAAAACTCACCTTTTTAGATTAGCTTTTAATGTGTGATTAATGTTGTGTCCTAGTGTTAAATGTTGTTGTGTGACCTCTTTTTGTTTTTTGTAATCTTTGTAAAGCACCTTAGAGCACTTGTAAAAGCGCTTGGTAAGTACAATGTATTATCATTTTAATATGAGTGATGGAGCTTAGGCCGGAAACACTGCCCTAGAGCCATCTCCAGGTGCTCTCACTGATGTTCAGGTGTAGATGCATACATGCCGAACTAGAACTGGCAAAAGCTATCGAGGGAACTTGATACATTGAAGATCAAATAGGAACACGAATGCTATCAGGAATAGAGCATAGGGAACACAACATTTTATTAAAGCTAGGGGAAGAAAAAACAGCATCAAGAGCGACAAGCAGACAATGGAGTAAAGGTAGTACTCTGTCTCAGTTGAGAATATCTTTCTCTAATGTATGTGTTTTATGGCATTAAGTACTCTCACTTCACTACTCTTTGAAGTTGTTGTTATCCTCAGCCTGGAGGAAGTAGAGGAGTGTAAAGGGAATACAGAGCAGCAGCAGCTCACAGCTCACAGCATCACAGGGGCAGAAAACAGTGACTTAAACACACAGAGAGATACATTTAAGAAAACACAGTGAGTGATCAAAGCCCACTTTAAAACACACACACACACACACACACACAATTAGGGGTTTTCTCAGATGTATATTAAAATACAGTACCTAATTGTAACAATACTCCAAATCCAAATTTGAACTGAAAGTACAAAAGTATTCATAACAAATACATCAAAAGCATCAAAATATACTAAAAGTAAAAGTACTACATGTAGTGGAGTTAAAAGTACAACACTGACTTCTAAAATGAAGATGTAAAAAGTAGCATAAAATTAAAAAACTTCAAGATTATACTTTTTTTAAATATTTAATGTACTTTCTTATATTCCTACACTGCACACAACACATTTGCATACTTCTGTACAAACATTAGCTGTTTTGAGCCGTGTGCTATTTGAGACAGCGATACACCGTCAAGATTCATGAATTTCTAGTATTCACAATGTACCAGAGGTGTGGACTCGAGTCACATGACTTGGACTCGAGTCAGACTCGAGTTACCAATTTGATGACTTTGGACTCGACTTGACAAAATCACAAAAGACTTGCGACTCGACTTGGACTTGAACACCAATGACTCGGGACTTGACTTGGACTTGAGCCCTCTGACTTGAGGTGACTTGATAATTTAATTCAGGGGTCTCCAACACGCCGATCGCGAGCTGCCGTGAGGAGAGCAGAATCTTCAGCCGCTGCAACTCTTGCTGAGAATCCATGCAGGCAGGGGCGGGACTTTATTTTGCTGAGCCACCATGCGGCCAATCATATGCGAGGACACACTAGGATCATACCATTATGTGAAAGAAGGGTGGGGGGCAGACGCTCCAAAGACAGCAGGTGTAGTGGTACAGGCCAGCTACACAGAGCGACGGGGAGCCGGATTTAAATGCAAGCGCGTCGGAAAAAGTCAAGAAATGAGCGAAAACCGAAAAAAGAAGCAGCATCTGGCTGCATTTCAATGATATTGGAGAAAGCAAAGTTGAGTGCAGGATTTGTAAAATGAAAATAACCTTCAGCGCAGGGTTTTTTTTGGTAACCACTCAGGATTTATTGTCAGAGGTGGGAGAAGTTCAGATCTTGTACTTGAGTAACAGTACCAGAGTGTATGAATACTCTGTTACAATAAAAAGTCCTGCATTCAAAATGTTACAAGTAAAAGTACAAAAGTATTAGCATCAAAATATAGTTAAAGTACCACCTACAGAGGGATCTAGATTCAGGTGTTCTTTTCCCCATGAGACCGCCTCGCTGCACATTATCCCTTGCATAAAGATAGATTGTGGGTCCCTTATAACATGTTGTACACAGTGGAAATAAACATTCTGGTCACCTCAACATCAGGGATCTTATCCATTAAACTCCTTCTGAATCAAACCGTCACGGTAGCCTTACCTTACTGATCCCTCTTACAATAGAAGAAAAACACGTTACTTTACCAGCAGAGAGAAAATGGATTATTAAATGATTAATGTGACTAATAAAGAGCAGTTTGATTATTAAGTATTATTCTGTTGATCGATGTCATTACATTTGTTGAAAAGCACATAATGACTTGTTTAAGACTCGTTTTGTCAAAGTTTAGGACTTGGACTTGACTTGAACTTGCCCATCCTGACTTGAGCTTGACTTGGACTTGAGCGCAAAGACTTGAGACTTGACTCGGACTTGAGCGCAAAGACTTGAGACTTGACTCGGACTTGCAAAACAATGACTTGGTCCCACCTCTGCAATGTACTAATTTAAAAGTTTCCAAAAAAACACAGTAAAATGTGTATGTATGTCTTAACATGAATATAATGCCATGCATACCTTATTTATGCCACCTTTTATCAGTCTACTAATACTACCCAGGTGTGTCTTATGTGTGTGAGCGTCCCCACTCAGTTGACCCTCTCTCCTCAGGTGAGTACACGGTGATGACGGCTCAATTCCACCTGAAGAGGAAGATCGGATACTTTGTGATCCAGACGTATCTGCCCTGCATCATGACCGTCATCCTGTCTCAGGTCTCCTTCTGGCTCAACAGAGAGTCCGTGCCTGCCAGGACGGTCTTTGGTGAGTGGTTCATATTCACATGTCATAGAAAGAGAAAGAAAATAAATGTTAAGCATGGCTGTATGATACAGTAAATGTATCATTATACTCTTTCAGACGTCACATGATTCCATCTTTAACCCAACAGTAAATAACAAAAAACTCTTAATATTAAAGATAAATAACATAGGGAAGCCAATAATGAAATTGAATGCATGTTATTACACTAGCAGCACAATGTATGGTGCCAAAACATACATACTTTTTGTAATAATCAGGAAGATTACAAAAATATGTTACCAAGTATTCCAGCAGGAATATGCAGGCATGTATTGGAGCAACTCAGAGAGTGATGAGTGACTTACCTGTTAAGCCCCAACGACCCCCTCGGCGGGTCTCTTTTTTTTTTTTTTTTCACGACACTGTGTCTCAGGGCTTCTTAATATTTAAAAAACTATGAATGTGTCATACCATCCTAACAGGAAGAAACTCAGCTAACTGATGATACGAACCATTTTTACCGAAACAAAACACAAGTCTCACAAGAAGGGTCTAAATGAGCCCTGAGCGAAAACATGCTAACGCACTTAGCACAAAACTCTAGGTATAAATCGAGCGATATACTTATTGGATCTGCACAAACAAGCTTTGCTAGCAAGCTGAGATTCCACAGATTCTAGAAATATAAGTATCATCACTGAGCGATCAGAACTTGCGACAGGGCAAGCAAATATAGACATCACACGACGTAGCTTTAGGTAGCAAAACACGGAGATGTGCTCACCTTAGCTGTTATTCTGATCAAAAGTCGTGTTCAATGGCATTAAAATGAGAAAAACGCGGCTGAAGGTTAATCCATAGGTTAATCCAATGTGTCTGTCACTTTGAAAAAAGTATTGATAATCCATAATTTAATTTTTATGCAAAAATCGGAGAATAAATATTAGCTGCTAATGGTAGCCACCAGAGTGTGTCACAGCTCCGGTTTTTGCTATGCGTCACTCTCACTCCTTATTTGGTAACCTGTGTGTGTATGTGGAACTTTCCCTCGATTCCATTGGCTCTAGCGGTTAAAAAGAGATGTCAATCATCAAAATCGACCAAGGGGGGCCAGAGATAGGTCAAATCCACCCAAATGACCCCAGAAGTGGGTTTGTTGTGCTAAATCTCTCTAAAAAGGTCAGATTTTACTTGTTTTGCATCAATCTTGATACAGGGTACTTATTATATGTTATAGTTTGGATTACTAAAGCTTTTAGTCTACTATCCCATCATTCAAGGGTGGTTTTCACAATAAGTAATGTGTTTTTTTTGGACGGACACAATCATTTACATTTTTTTATTATGTTCAATCTGAATTTACTTTAAAATAAAAAAATCTATATTGATTCTGACTTTTCTACATCCAACTCACAGGTTTATCATTGCTTTGAGAAAAAAGATTATTAATTTTCCCCTTTTAGAAGTGTAGTTATGGTCATTTGTTCTGGGAATGTCATTTTCGAGCCTGAGGCCTGGAAAACAGGCTCAGGGCTTAACAGGTTTTAATGGATTCACAAACAAAACATTTATATAGTACCCTTTTTAAAGATCTGAAATGATTGCGAGCATGGCTCCTTCTAATAAGTGAGCAACAGAGCTCTGAAGGAGTTACAAGAGAGCAACTATAAACACATGCAGGTCCTAAAACACCCCCTGGATCAGGTACCTGCTATTAAACACTATTACATTACATGTTACTTGTTAGACGCTTTTATCCAAAGCGACTTACATACTCAATACTGTGGGCAATCCCCACAGGAGCAATTTGGCGTGAAGTGTCTCAGGGACACAACGACATGCTGACTGCAGTGGGGTTTGAACCTGTGACCATCTGATCCCCATACCAAGGCTCTATCCACTGCGCCACGCCTATTAGAACAAACAGTCACACTGAAAGGGGTTTTGTGAAAGAGTGACAAATAACCCCAGGTCAGATTGTATCTCTTTCCATAAACCTTGCAGTGTTAAAACAGGGCTGCCAACATTTGAGTTCAGCTTGGAGTGAGATTTTTTTTTTTTGGTGAACCGAAAAAAGAAACGTCCATGTGTAGTGTTACAAATGTATTGAACAAGTACAAACGGGTTTCCCATTAATGTACCGGGCGCTACAGTGGAATACGCACATACACAGTGTACCCGCGACTCTTACAATGAAGGCTCGATCATCAGCTCACAGCATATAAAATGGCATATAGGTGTAAGCAGAGGTAAAGTGATATTTTATAAGTGGGGGTGGTCCTCACCTCCTCCAGGGGGGTCCAGGGGCATGCTCCCCCGGGAAGATTTTTTTTTTAAATATTGAAGTTAAATGCATCAATCTGGTGCACTTTGAGAGCAAAATGAATTTAAGGATACATCTCTCAACACCCATATGAAACACAACTTTAAACAGATTTTCTTTTTCTTTATGGATATTTTACAAATCACTCACCTTTTAAACTGTATTCTTGAAAATATTTTTACTTTACCTGTGGCGCGAAAATATCTTATAATATATTCTCCTTACCTTTTCTTATTCTTCTCATCCTCCTTCTCCTTCGTCTTTGCTCAGACCCCCGGTATACCCTCGTTACATCCAATCAGTGTGCAAATACCGTACAGCCAATCACAATGCGTGACGCTGTCCAGGTTGCTAGGCGGCAGTGCTACGGACCGCGGGTGTCAGGTGACGCAAACAGGAAGTCCTTCGTAAGCCTGACCGTCTCATTTCGTAGACCGCTCGGTTTGCTGTTCCTTCACTTTATTTTTATATTTATATACATTTGTTGTGAACGAAAACTTAGCGTGAGGAAAGGCATGTGTGGCGTGAGTGCGTGAGATATGTGTTAATTGCGTGACTCTCACGCTCAATGCGTGAGTGTTGGCAGCCCTGGTTAAAACATTTCACCCTTTTCCTTTAAAACAGTGCATCAAGGATTACAACATGTAGCAAAACTTACCATTGTTTGACTTTTGGGGTGAACTTTGGTGAACCACTTTTCAAATGTGTTTATTATAAAAAAGAATTCCCCCCAAATTACGCCCATGCCCTATATACATTTAGTTAAACAAAAATAAATGCAGGTTAATTGAATCGTGAGTGCAGGGGGAATTTGTAACTTATTAAGAGCCAAAGGGCTGTGCTAAGCGAACAGTTCAGACCCTGGGATGAAATACCCGCAGTACCTCAATTTGTTGTGTTACTTTGACAGCAACCCTTTGCTTCATGTCGTCAGGTCTCTTTACTCATTTCCTGTCTATCTTCAGCTGTATTAAGAAAACAAAATGCAAAAAAAGTAATATTAAAGAAAAATTAGGTGGCTAATTTAGCTTAGCATCAGTGCTCTGCCCAGTGTGTTCTGGGCATGCCAAACACACAGGTTGCTATGAATACAGAGAAGGTATCAGTAAATGTAGATGAGCATGTTGAAGCCTGGGGAAAAAAAGGCTGATCACATTCACATCCAAACACAGGCATTGGCAGTGTGGTGAACCAGCAGCAAATGTTTCCCCAACACAAACCAACTCCTCTCCTCACCTGGGGCCTCATTTATAAAGCCTTGCGTAGGATTGGCGTGGGAAGGTTGCTTACGTAGGACAAAGCAAATAAATACGCACCGACATTTTACGATTCATAAAAGACTGCGTACCGGCGCAGGACTTGCGTACGGCACATCCTACGCCGGTTTCCCTTTATAAATCACAATCAACTCGAAATGCGGCGCAGCTTTTGCGGGCTTCACGTAACGCCCATATTTGCCTATGAATCATATTGTTTGGTGGATGCAGTTTGAACCAGAGTAGCAGCATGGAGGTCGGATCGTCACCAAAATAAATAAATAAGTGGTCCGAAAAAAGTTAATGAGAAACAAAATACACATAACCTTCCTCAGGCAGTGTGTTTGTACCGGGGACAGGAGACCCCCCCTTGATGAGAAACTGTAAGAAATGATCGGGGAATCCCTCCGGAGTAGAGTCATGACGACTGGATCTGAATTATTTTGTTGTATTTGGTGGTTTGTGTTCCAGCTGTCGATCAGCAACTATATATCCATAATCCACCAGTTAAAGGAAATACAATGTGTTGTTATATTAGCTGTACAATTTACCACATATGGTGTTCTTAGTTTCCATACCTGCTGTGTTTTACGAGCGACTTATCAAGTCTTGGCAAACGGCATAAAACACGATTAAACATGATAGTATATAAAACCATGCTCGTATCTCTACAACCTATAGAAAAGCTAAACGGCGTCAGTTTAAAGTAATTCTGTCCTTCTGTTTACCGCATCATTTATGAGAATACATTTCTTAACAAGAGAACATCATCGAGGGGTGATCAATAACATTTATTTATTTCTCCAAGTTATGTTTTTGTGTGCACCGAGGAGTCTCAAACAGGCATTTGTTTAATCATTTTAAGATTGGCTTTAATCCATTTGTGAAAATGAATTCTTCATATATGATAAATGAGAGGGAACATTTTATTTATGGTATTATTTCCACATATTTCTCTCCATTCTTTCTTCTGCCAACGGTGTCGCAGTTTCTCCTCTCTCCCGTTTGTGTGCTTAGTGCATACGCATGGGTCAGAGTTTGCGTGGAGGGCCGCACATTTTCCCGTCAAGTTCGTTTTTTATAAATCGCAAACAGTGCGTAGAAACTGGCGTACGCCATCTTTTGAGCATACGCACCGTTTATAAATGAGGCCCCAGAACTGCAGCTCTTCTCTGCCAGGTCTCCCTCCTGATTCGTTACTGTGAGCTCGTGCTGACTCGTTTATCAGGCCGACGCAGGCAGAACCTCAGAACAGGGTCACGCTGCAGTGAGGCCTCAACAGGCTCATCAGGCCGAGGAGAGTGGACCCACAGCTGCGCTCTGACTTCCTGTTTGGTTAAATGTCAGGCAGCTGTCTGCGGCTGACATAATGCTCTGTTTGCAGTTATCCACGCAGCATAATGCACGCAAATAAAGCCAGTCCTAATCTATTGTGACCAACAGGGCAGCAGGAAAGGTCGTGTGGAAGGCATTTTGTGACTTGAGGTAATTTTGCAAGGTCCTAGCATCAGAGACATCAAATCACAAATGAGTTCACCTGCATTGATCAGTGTCTTATTTATTTTCTGTATGCGTTCCATACATGCTAATTACTTTTTGGAGACACAACCTTCAAAGGTCATCATTTTAAGGTTTCATACATACAGAGTTTTGCCCCTCAGAATCTACAAATTGCTGGTGTTATGACCAACTATCGCAAAACAAACTGACAGCTAACTTGGACGCAAGATTAAAGAAACAAAGCAATGTAGAAGGCTTGGGCCTGTCCCCAGAGGTGGGAAGTAACAAAGTAGAATACTTCGTTACTGAACTTAAGTAGATTTTTCAGGTATCTGTACTTTACTTAAGTACTTATTTACTTTCACTCCCTACATTTTAACACAAATATCTGTACTTTCTACTTCTTACATTTTCAAAACAGGCTCGTTACTTTAGTTTTAATGCATGTGAGGTGAATTATCAATTATTTTTATTTTGCATCATTGTGGGCCTTCCCCGACATCAAGACTGATTTAAAACTAAATGAATGTGACAATAACACGTAGAGAAGACGAGCCATTATGTGCAGATCATTCAGACCACCAGCAAGACATCCCACATCCATGGCCTTACTTAAGGGAGATGTTTGAAGTTGTGGCCGCAAAATGATTCGTGGCGAATGCACTATAATCATTTTTGTTTTATTTGTTTAGGCCTATATTAAGGCAAAGTAACCCATCTACAATGTTTTGCGACAGCAAATACAGGTACTTTGTTTTTGTTGTTCACGCTGAATACATTCAGAATGGCAGTAATAAAAGTTGAAATGAAGCTCCTTTTGACTTATATTAATACTATATTATATTAATATGATGTAAGGTTCAGTTAGCTTTGCACAAAAACAGCCAGTTTAAAAGTTACTTTTTACTGTGAGTACATTTCAGAGACTGTACTTTTGTACTTTTACTTAAGTAAAAAGTTGAATCAGCCTACTTCTACTTTTACCAAAGTCTTTTTTTACACAAGTATCTGTACTTCTACTTCCACTTTTTGTTATATTCCATGGAATGCTCTTAACATCCCGATAGCAATGAATACATTAAATGCTTTGACAATAAATACATAAAAAAAATATCATCTGTGGAAGCCGTGGCGCTGTAAAAAGCACGACCAATCATCTGACCCGGCCCGGCTAAAATAACTGGATGGCCTACCTGCCTGTCAGCCTTCCATCTGTGCACAAACTTATCTCGTGCCCTCATTGGTCATGTGCGCGTCCGTGTGTGTTGGAGGAGGGGCTCTGTGAGGAAGTCTGAAGGAAGGGGCAGATTTTTTCCGGTTGTATACTTTCAAATTCTAGCGCACTCGAGCTGGTTTCTCCATTCTTACCTAACCTACCTTTAAGTAAGAGAGTGTGTACTTTTGCCACCTCTGCCTGTCTCCACATAGGGACTTTTTCTGAGTGACAGCATCTTTTTTCAATTGGTTCCAAAGAGGAGTGAGTGCATGATGCACATGCAGTTGAAAGTATTACAACTATTCTGAAAATGGCTGGTGATGTCACTGCAGAATTTTAAGGAGATGATTGTTTTTGGGCAATGGCTGTCAGACAGAAACTACCATAACATAGACGCTCAATGTTGCTGCCGAGCATCTTTTATCTCCGTATGCGGATCCTCCGCTTCTTCTCGCTGTACGGATACCAGACTGAGCAGTGAAGCTCGATCATTCAAAGTGTGAGAGCAAGAATCTTCTGGTTGGAGCTAATGTTGAAAATACAACAAAGTAGCCAATAAAAGTCAAGGGGGCAATGTTATTCTGTCTTACAAAAGAGGTGTCAGGTTGTCAAGACATCGTTTTCATACAAACATTTCATAAAAAAGCATTGGGAACGTCTTTTGATGAAACGCTTCCAGCACATTTCTGCCAGAAAATACCCAATGTGGACACATGGTCCTAGTGTACACCATCTGGAAAAGACATCTGCAGTAAACAGTGAGGTGTTCAATGTTAGCCGGAGCTCCACCCAGACCAGGAACGCAACAAAACAAACCTTCAGCACATGCTAACGCCAAAGGGAGCTTTCATATGAACAATAAATCTAAATTTGCCTTTTACTAAATATATTTTTTGATGCTGAATATTTAATTTTCCTCTATGCTTTGCCCTCTCTTCCCAGGTGTAACTACAGTCCTCACAATGACCACCCTGAGTATCAGTGCCCGTAACTCACTGCCGAAGGTGGCCTATGCTACAGCCATGGACTGGTTCATCGCCGTCTGCTATGCCTTCGTCTTCTCTGCACTCATTGAATTTGCTACCGTCAACTACTTCACCAAGCGGGGGTGGGCCTGGGACGGGAAGACCATCATCAACGAGAAGGTAGAGCTGTCCCGTTTCTCTTCTGGGTCCATCAGTAAGGCCATTAGCAGTCTTCATTCCTTCATCATCATTTGGTTATGTTGGCTCAAAAACTACCTTCACATGATCAGCGGCAAAATGGATCGGGCTGACATTCTCAAAGTTCAAAAAATGGCCAACGACCCTTCAACACACAACCAATCAGACAACCACTGTATGAAGTGTTTCAAGCTAGCAGGAAAGGAGGCACTGTGAGGTCAAACCAGGCAGTTCAGTGAAAGGTTTTGGATTCTCTGCAGTTACCACTTGTGTTGTGGCTGCTGTTGAGTTGAAATGAATACAACTACCATACATTGTCATATAAATGTTGTTAAATAATGGCCAAATGCTGATAAGGTTGATTACCTCTCACCTCTACTACAATATCTCCACTGGTTCATTCTGTACAACATATATTTCCATATTCCATCACTCTGCTGCGGTTTTTCCCAGTTCTCTCCCCAGTTCATTGAAATGCATTAAACTCAGGAGAAAACTAAGGTTTTCGGAGGTTCCCCACCCCAATCTCTGGAGGTGCTTTCTCGCCGTCTTAAATTGACAGGAAGACAGATGGCCAGTTTCAGTGTCAATTCAGCTGCCATTACTACAGGGGCAAGAAACTGGCAGCAGCTACTTTTAGGGCTGTCACTGAGAGAAAAGTACATACAGTATGTGGTTGTAGTGCTGGATGTGTATCAAGCAATCAGATTTCAATCTCTTTCAAAGGCTTCTTGTTTGCAGGTACACTTTTCTTTGAAAACAGCTATTCGATTCAGCCAAGGTACTGTACAGTAGCATATATACTGTACATTTACAATTCTATTTGAACCTGTTTGACCCTGTAAAACTTGCCATACAATACACGTTGATCATCAACTCCTGGTGCTTTATAGCAGTCGTTCACCACCACGGGTACGCGGACCTTGAGTGGATCTCAGGTGTCTGTAGAGTTTTTTTTTAATTCATTTTTGAATACATTTTCATAAGCCTTGGGTCCTGACTAGTTATGTGTTATAGTTGCAGTTCCTTCCGGGATGGTGTTGATTGTAACACCTCTGTAGATCACGTTCACACTGCGGCACATGGATAGCAATTAGCTAACATTAGCTGCAAAGTGGCAGTAAGAATGAATGCATGGTTAGGCAGGGATAAACGCACAGCTACCGGTGCCCGCGCTGTGAAACCGGGTTTAGGAGAGCCCAGTGAAGAAAAACTAAAGACCAAACACCATGGGACTTATAGAATGGCTACCAGCTCAAGGGGTACACCAGACAAAAAGGTCCCTCCCATGCTTGGTTAGGGTTCCCTGTGCATCTGTGTATCTTGACCATGAGTTCCTTTCTGTTGTCTTTTACACCTTCATTGTCCCCATAAGGAATACCACCTTTTTGCAATTAAGTCTTTTGACAGCCATTGATGGTATTCAGGGAATACTTTGACTTCTTTGGTGTTGATTACACATTCCTAACATAATTGTATGAACAGCATGTAATGACACAGTGTGTCAGCTCATGGGTGTGTCTGCATGAGTCAAAAACATATCCCAGTATGTAGTCCTAAAACAGCACCTTAGTTGGGAATCAGTGGCTCTACTCCAGACTCAAGTAGTTTTCTCGTTGTCTTTACTTGGGCTTTACGTGAATTGTAACCTCATTCAGCGTATTGTTAGGTGGCCTTGAGTTTAGTCTATCAAGTTATACTTTGGTTATTTTGTTATATATTAAGCTTCTGTCAATTAAAAGCCACACTTTCTGTATAGAGGTGTCACATTTCCCTATTGGATCCTTAACACGATTGAAAAAACAGCTAAAATGAACAGCTTAAAGAAGTTATTTCCAGGGGTGCACATAACTGGTACGCATGCGCGGCAACAATCTGAAATGCGTACCGTCACTTGTGTCACAAAGCGCATTTGCGTACCGACGTACTTGTGAAGCTTTTCCAGAAGGCGGAGTCGGTCTCCGTGTGCAGAGGGCTGCTGTTAACGTCGGTCTGTACAGCAGCACTGCGCTAACACAGCAGATCACAACGTTCACACGCTCTGTGGTCACGAAGCTCTGTACTCCACTACCACCCCCCCCCCCCAGGGGAGCCAGAAGTTGGAGTACCAAACACTGACTCTACTCATCTGAGAAAGTTGCGTGCACCCCTGGTTATTTCCCTTTTTTTGTTCCATTTTTTTTTGCCTCATTGTCATTTAAATGGGTAATAACACAGTTACACTGCCTATGTATAGTATAATTGATAAATGGGCATTTCCCTACAAAATAAAATTATGCTTGCCATTATTGCGAATTATTGATATTGTTTAAGTAGGAATATTTTCTTTTAAAGGTCTAACCCTGTGGCCTTTTTTCACACAGAAAAAGGAAGCAGCAGTGATGAAGAAGAACAACGCCTATGCTGTAGCTGTGGCTAACTACGCTCCCAACATCACAAAAGACTCTACGCTGCCCACCATCTCAAAGTGCGGTCTGACCGATAACAACAAGACCGCAGCGGAAACAAAGCCTGAGCACAACAAGAAGACCTTCAACAGCGTCAGCAAGATCGACCGCATCTCCCGCATCCTGTTCCCCGTTCTGTTCTCAAGCTTTAACCTGGTCTACTGGGCCACCTACCTGAACAGAGAACCAGTCATTAAATACATGGACCCTGCCAAATGAAACGTACAGGACTCACTACAAACACACCAATTCAGGACTTATACATCTGTTGGTATTCATTTTATCAGCCAGTAGCTGTGTACAATACATGCATTGAGAAATCCGTTCTCTCTTGCCGTACTCATTTTTGGATTGAAGCAGGTAAACATCATAACTGGGTTACAATAATCCTGATAGATCATACAGGAGTAAGCCAGGCATCTTTACAAGGTTAAAGTCAGGATACTTTTAGTTCCAGATGCCCAAACAGAGAGGAACGGAAACTTATACTTCCTCTTGGATCTAAAAAAATGTATACATTGCATAAAAAAAAGAAATGTCCTCCTAATTATCATTTCCAAATGTGATATTTATGAAAGGATCTGGTAACATTAGAAAACAATACTGCAAAAACTAGAAGAAAAAAAACAATGTTTAAAGCTGCAGTAATCAAAAACGTTATATCGCCAACAGATCAAACTCATAGTGATTGAACCATAGAGATTCATCACCAACTGTCTTTGAAACAAAAATTTCCCAAATTGGGATCAATAAAGTACTATCTTGTCTTATCTTATCTTACTCAGAAGCAACTGTTTGTTTGTGAAAAAGGCTCTGATAAAGCCACTGCAATGTTCACTGCTCAGCAGCACACAGCAGGCACAGTGAGAGACTAGCTTGACAACATTGTTAGCATTAAGTAGCTAAAGGCACAGTAGAGACTAACTGGGGAACATAGTTAGCATTTAGCAGCTAAAGACACAGTTAGAGACTAGTTGGGGAACATAGTTAGCATTTGGCAGCTAAAGACACAGTTAGAGACTAGCTGGGGAACATAGTTAGCATTTGGCAGCTAAAGACACAGTTAGAGACTAGTTGGGGAACATAGTTACCATTTGGCAGCTAAAGACACAGTTAGAGACTAGCTGGGGAACATACTTAGGCTAGCATTTGGCAGCTAAAGACAAAATTAGAGACGTAGCAGCTAAAGAAACACATTTTTTAGGAATTGGAGACTAAACCAGAGTTAATCAAAAAAGAATATTGGACCAACATTCATCATTACATTTATGCCTACTAGATGTATAAATAGGACATCTTTTGCTAACATATTTGTCAGGTCCCAAAATGTATATGGTTGTAGTCTGAACTCGCACTATTGGCTAACGCTCCAACAGATTGTACGTGGTAGGCTAAAGGACGGAACATCTCTAAGCGGTTGACCAATCACAACAGAGCCGGCCAGCTAACCAATCAGAGCGAACTTGGCTCTGGTTTCAGACAGAGGGTGAAAAAAGGTGCAGCACAGGCAATATGAGAAAAATAAAGAGCTTTTTGAACATTAAAGCATGGAGACATGTCACAGCAGAGACACAACATACAAATAAGAACCTGGAAATAAGTCCAATAGGGCCCCTTTAACACAGTCCATGAAACGGTTCATAATCACCAATAAGAGCTATTATCTAAGGATCCTTTCCTCTTAATTGTGTGTTGCAGTACTGATGGATAATAGAGGCCATAATTACAAGAACATGTCTCTTGAGTTTATTTCACCAATCAATTACTTTTGAACAGTTTTTTCATTATAGAACTTTTATAATCATGAGACAGTGGGGCGTTTAGCAGCACGAAACATCAACCAACCCCTCCACTGATTTCTGATCGCTTCTCAGTGTCTATCTCTCCTATTAACATGTTTACCACATCAAACAATTTGCTGGGAACTTATTCCACACCGCAGCTTCACCACAGTCACACCCAGGGCTGCACGGTTCTCCGCTGCTCACTCTGTACTCTTTGTACAGCTCTCTAGACTGTCACACTGTGGAAGATGATTATGATTGGATAGAAATGTGTGAGAATGCGTGTAGAAATATAAAGCGTCTGTGTATTTAAATGTAGATTTATGGTAATCTTTGAATATACAATGTAGCAGAAAAACTGGACCAACACATTTAAAAGTCTCAACCTTGGAAAAAGAAACTGTGTAAATTATACTGTATTCTTTACATTTTGTCGTTTTTTATGTGTAAAAGTTTTCGAAATATTTATATGTATATCAATTCTGTGCTTTGTTTAACCCACTTTTAAAATCTATATATTTTAGATGAGAATTGTTCTAGAGATTATTATGTTTTCCAACTTGACCCTGTGTTTCTTTAAATGTTGGAGTGTAAAGGCTCTTCCTGATTCCTCTGACCATGAATACAGGATTGTGAAATTCATTGAGAACAAATCTGTGTCGTTCTGTTTTTACCTGGGCGAAACGAAAATGTAGTATGAGTCCTAAAAACCGGAAATTAGATTTACGTCAACCGGCTGCGGAGGGAGACTGTTAGAAATTTAAAATCAATGTTTACAGATGAAGAACTCATTAATTTCAGTATTGTGTTCACACCTTAAAAGGTGTGAAAGGAGGGATTGTTAGAAATTTAAAATCAATGTTTACAGATGAAGAACTCATTAATTTCAGTATTGTGTTCACACCTTAAAAGGTGTGAAAGGAGGGATTGTTAGAAATTAAAATCAATGTTTAATATAATAATTAGTCTAAAATATATCGTCAGTTTAAAAGCTGTTTTATTGTGAAAAAACCCGGAAGTTCTCATACAATCTCAATGCCAAGCTTTTATTCCTTCATATCCGGTCAGTATGTAGCATGTCGCTAACAATGTTTTAAATGAACTATTACAGCTGTTTATAAGGTATTAAATAGAAAGTCATGAAAGAGATAAGGAGGATAAAAGACTTAAGGAAGTGGGCACTCTCAGAGAGATGACCTAATCAGAGAAACTAAGACAATGAGAAAGAGGAGGGAAGTTCCCTCCCTACGTCACCGCCCACCATTGAGGAGGAGGGGTCACGACTGAGATATAGGGAGGTGAGGGAGCTCTGGAGAGCACTCCTTCGCTGCAGCCACGAGAGACAACACCGGCTTTGTCTTTTCCCTTACCCTCTGCTTGTTGTATCATCGTGCCATTTAATTAAACTCACCAATTTGAACCTTTTCGGAGACTCCATTAGTCTCTTCATTCTAAGCTCCTCTCCTGGACGCGAGAACATTGAATACTTCTAAAAAGACTCCCCTGTGCACATTCTGTGCCCCGCGCACACACTGGAGAACCGCGCAAAATCAGCTGATCACAACGTTCACGACACGCTCACCCAAAGTTTATGCTGAACAAAATGTGTTTGAAACAGATCTTATTTTCTGCAATATTCCAAAATTCAAGAGAAATTCCATAGACTTTTCATTTAATTCCGGGTCGTTTTTAGAAATGTCATTACTGCATCACTCTATTGTCAACAATAACACGTATACACTCAGTATGGTCTTCATCCACTTTATAACTGCTGGTATACTCTAGAGAGGAGCCCCTGGAGTGGTGTTTGACATCATTTTTGAAAGACAGGTCATAGAGCATGAGTCAGTGGAGGGAAGGATCGAGGAGGGCATTCACAACCGATACCGTTTTCTGTGCCATCATGTTTCAGACAACACAGAATCAGACTGTGATAAATTGAAAGAAAGAACTCTGTGTCCATGCTTTCAAATTCCAATTGTACATTTTTGTTACAAGTGTTAGGAGTGAAAGCAGGGGACATGTAGGACAGAATTTACAATCTTAGCCTCAACACTTTCCCAGTGGTAAAAGCTAACAGTCATGGCAGCTAGCTAGCTGACGGCAGCTACTGTTGGCAGCAGTTAGCAGTTAGCCTTACATGAGCAACAAGTCAAACGTTCTGTCCATCAGGAAAGGTAAAGCAGCTGGATGACCAGAGAAAATGTTTCCGTAAAATGTGTTCCACTTTCTTAAGTAGTTCCTCCAGGGCATCACCGCTCGCCAGCGTTACATAGTGAAGGAACAGATGTTCAGAGCGAGAGTTTAACTGACAGATAAATCATGCTCCCTGATACAAGTCAGAGTAGCATCCAAATCTTTTTGAAGCTGATATTTTAAAGGTAGACAATGATATTCTTTATTTGACATGATCAGAATGGTGGTTTATTTTCTGTGGGATAGGTTTTACGGGTGAAATCTAATCTCATAATTTACATATCTTTCACATATCTTCATATTTTCTTCTTACCTGTCATTTAAAATGAGTCCTCTCCATTTTATTAGCATAGATGGATGGATTTAAACATGTATACATTAATATGTCTTGTATCAACCCAGTCTCACGGCATTTCGTGTTATAGTCCAACCCAGTCTCACTGCATTTCGTGTTATAGTCACAACATTTAATCTATTGATTCGTGTTCACCAACACGATTTTCCCCTTTTTTTCTTGTCACACAGAACGATTTTAAAAGCAATGTATTTCTATTGGTAGTGTGTTTCGTGCCTGCACCACTTATTTTTCTTCCGGTCGCGTCTTGGAAGACCGGAAGCTGTGTGGTTCATAAAAACATGTTCTTACTCAATATCAAGCCACAATTATTGTTTTTAATTTTATATTGTATAATGTCAGACTCAGTGGCGAGCCGTCAGGGCCCTCTAGGCCCTCTGTGAGGGCCTAAGATATTCCAAAAAATAATATTTAAAAACATTAAAAAAAAATATATTTTTTTAAAATATATATTTTTTTAATATTATTTTTGTTATATTTTTCATTAGTTTTACCGAAAAAAAACTTGATTTAATAAAATAACATTTCCAAATAAATAAATCCTTCGAATCTGCCTGTTCAGTCTCTGTTTGAATGTGGGTTACATGAAAGAAGCTCACCTGGCCCTCTCTGCGATTCACAGAGGGCCCGCTAGTAACTGAACGAGAGAGTAATGTCAAATGACAGTACAATTGACCAATCATATCTTCCCTCTAAATGGGTGGGTTTTATTATCGCGGACTAGATGACAAGTTCCGCCCGCTGTGAAACTTTTCTTGTTTCCATAGCAACAATAACTTCCTGTCAACAGCGTGAACTCGCCTTCAAAATAAAAGCATGCCAAATTACACTTAAGACATACAACTGCAACGAAAGTAACAAACACAATGCAATATCATTTTCAA